CTAAAATCATCCATAAACACCTCAATAATCTTTTCTACGTATTGGAGAATATACTTACCATACACCTCTGAAAAGTTGTTGGGGCGTTGTAGAGGCCGAAAGGCATCTCCGGTAGGCAAATGTACCAAAGGGGCAGGTGAAGGTAGTTTTCTCCTGATCCTCTGGTGCTATTGCGATCTGAAAATAACCAGAGAAACCATCAAGAAAACAATAATAGACACGGCCAGCTAACCTTTCTATCATCTGATCAATAAAAGGTAGAGGGAAGTGGTCCTTCTTTGTCACAGCATTCAGACGCCGATAGTCAATGCACTGGCGCCATCCTGTGGGTTTCCTCACCGGGACCATCTCACCCTCTTGGTTCTCTTCAACTGTTACTCCTGCCTTTTTCGGGACTACTTGCACTGGGCTCACCCAAGGACTATCTGAGATGGCGAAATGATCCCCACTTCTAGGAGTTTAAGTATCTCCTTCTTCACCACTTCCATCATCAGTGGTTCAATCTCCGTTGCGCCTGCCTCACTGGTTTTGCATCCTCCTCAAGCCGGATCCGATGCATGCATAAGAGGGGCTAATTCCCTTGATATCTGCTACGCTCCACCCAATCGCTTCCTTATGGTCTCGAAGAAGACGAACAAGGTCATCTTCTTGTCTTGGTGACAGGTGAGCAGATATGATGACTGGTAACGTCTCATTGTCTTCGAGAAATGCATACTTCAAATGCTTCGGGAGGGCTTGAGCTCCAACTCAGGTGCCTGCACAATAGAAGGCAATAATTTTGCCTGAGTTTCTGGTACAAAGACAGAAGTAAGCTCATATTGGGAGAAATTGGTGGGAGCGAATGCAGTGCTCCAACAGCGTGGTATAACTCATCACTTATTTCTACATCAAGAGTTGCTCCTAACTCAAGATGTTTGGTCAATGCCACTGCCAGTGCATCAACCCCATCCAATTCAAATATTTCCTGTACAAGGGGCTCAACAACACTTAAAGCATAAACAGAGTTAGTCTCATCTGGGTACTTCATCGTATCAAAAATATTAAAATTTATAATTTTTCCATCAAATTCCATTGACAAAGTACCCTCATTTACATCTATTTTTGTCCTAACAGTGCTTAAAAATGGCCTACCTAACAAAATAGGAGACGGATTTAGTGCCCTTTCATCCCCCATGTCCAGGACATAGAAATCTGCAGGAAAAACTAACTCATTGACCTGCACCAAAACATCTTCAACTAACCCTTCTGGGTAAACATTGGTACGATCTGCAAGTTGGATTATAATGTCTGTGCCTTTTAATGGACCAAGATTAAGGGACGTATAAATTGTTTTAGGCATTACATTGATTGACGCCCCTAAATCCAACATTGCCTTCCTAATCGAGGTACCTCCTATCTTGCAGGGAATGGTGAACATACTTGGGTCTCCACATTTTGGTGGGAGTTTCCTTTGGAGCATGGCTGACACGTTTTCTCCCACTGCCACTCGTTCATCTCCCCGTAGCTTCCTCTTGTGGGTGCACAAGTCCTTCAAAAATTTGGCATATTTCGGTATCTGCTTGATTGCATCCAGTAGAGGGATGTTAATCTCTACTTTCCTGAATACATCTAAAAGTTCATTTTCCTTTTCTACTTCCTTGTCTTCGCCAACCTGGAAGGAAAAGGAGGTAAGTTAGATGTAGTAGTGGGTGGAGAGGTGAAGGTTATCTTAGGATCTTCTCGGATACGTCCTTCCTCTTCAATTTCCTTTTCTATCTCCTCCTCACTTTTGCTTTTTGAATTTTTCACTGTAGACCCTTCCAGTTCCTTGTCACTTCTCAGCGTTATGGCACTTACATTCTTGAGATTTACCTCGGATTGCGATGGCAGTTTTTCATAAACGTGGGACTCCAAGCGGTTAATGGCAGTTGCCAGTTGGATTATTCGAGTCTCTTGGTCCTTCTTGTCTGCTTTGGTGTCCTGCTGGAGCTGCGCGGTATTTGCTGCCAAGGATCTGATCTCCTGATGAAGCTGAGTAGTAGTCGAGGTCAGCGCTTTTGACTAGGTCCTCCAAGGAGCTTCCTGAATTGGAGGAAGAGGTTTGAGATTTTGGTTGCCAAGGCTGGTGGAATCCTGGTGGACGATTCGGGAATGAACTTTGTTGCCTGTTCCATAACTGAGATTGGGATGGTCCCTCCAACCCGAGTTGTACGTTGGAATACGGGTCATACTGCCTGCGGGGCGCGGGCACGCCTCCGGCCATATTTACCTGTTCCGCCCCGTCCTCTTGCAGAATGGGGCACGTATCCGTGCAGTGGTCCATGCTAGTACAGATTCCACACCTTTGCTCGCGGTGTGTCTCTCATGGCCAATTGCCTGACAGCAGACGTCAACTCTGACAGTTGCTGCTGGATGGATGACGTCTCTGCCTCATTGACTCTACGGGTAGGATTGCTCTCACGGAAGCCGAACTGCTGAGAGTTCTCTGCCATGGCTTCAATAAGGTCCCATGCCTTCCCTCGGTGTCTTGTTCGCCAGGGCTCCTCCACTCGCAGCGTCAATAATACTCCTGTCAGTTGACTGGAGCCCTCATAGAAGTACTGGATCAACAGTTGTTCACTAATCTGATGCTGTGGGCATCTAGCGCACAACTTGTTGAACCTTTCCCAAAAATCGTACAATGACTCCCCGGAGTACTGCTTGATGCTGCAAATTCCTTCTCAAACTTGCAGCCCGGGATGCGGGGAAAAATTTCTCCAGAATTTCTTTTTCAATTGTGCCCACGTGGTGATACTACCTGCAGGTAGGTAGTATAGCCAATCCTTCGCTGCATCCTTGAGAGAGAAGGGGAAAGCTCTCAGTCTTATTTGCTCCTCAGTGACCCCAGGAGGTTTCATGCTAGAGCAAACTATTTCGAATTCCTTGACATGTTTGTGGGGTTCTTCACCAGAAAGACCATGGAACGAAGGCAGGAGCTGAATCAACCCCGATTTCAGCTCGAAAGAGGTATTTTCAGCCAGAGTTGGGAACGTGATGCACAAGGGCTGATGAGTCAGGTCTGGGGTAGCCAGCTCCCTTAATGTCTGGGTGTTGGCCATGCTAAATTCGTTTTCTACTGACTCGTTTGCAAAAATAAGTGCCCTTCTTTTCGTCTCTTGGTTTCTTGCCTTCGCCTACGCGCTGCCTTCTCAACCTCAGGATCGTATACCAATTCACCTGTGCGAGAAGAACGGGCATAAACTAGCAAAAATACCAAGAAAAATAAAATAAAAAAACAAAAAAAAAACTGAATTCAAAAAGAAACAAATAATTCGATGCCAGTCCCCGGCAACGGCGCCAAAAATTGACAGGTGCCGAACCTGTGCAATAATAATAAATAAAACCTAACTACCACCTGAAACAGTCAGTAATCAATTCGAGTACTGGAGCAGGGACTCTAGGTGTGCAATGGTTACTTGATTCACCCTGTTCCCGAAGAGTTTGCTTAATCCGATATACCTGAATTAATTATTTAACTGAATTCCTAACTAGTAGACAGTGGTAAGCAGGGTCGTCTCCTCAGGGACTGGAGAGATATTTGTTTCTTTTCAAATCAAGATTAATGGGGGGTTTTGGTATCAAAGCCAACTAACAAATTAAATGCAGAAAATAATTAATTAAAGAAATAACTAAGAGAAACTCTAGCCAAGGGTACTTACTTAGAAATGGTTCATGCACTGATCATTGATGCAAAAATAATCCCACATTTATTAATAGATTGGTTATAGTTGTCATGCACGCGATAAACAACCAACCCTTCCTTAATTTATCGATAGCTAAGGTACGACCGTTAGCTATTTCTCTAACCCGAAAACAACCCTAGGTACGACCGTAGGATTTAATTTTAGATTGCATTATTAATTAGAAAGGCCCAATCCTAACTAACAAACACGCTACGAGGGTTTATTCAAGCCAGATCAAATATTCCCCTGACACAAATCCAATTATGCCAGTTGCTACTGGATAGAATAACGAACAATTACGGATTCAATTACCCCTATATAGCAAAATAGCCTATGTGATAATTAATTACTGCGCACTAACCAATCATACACAAGGCTATAGCGATTAAAAGCAAGGAATATGTAAATATCAATAAATGAAGAGAACAATTAACAATGGTTTAGATCTCACAGTATTAGTTGAACCAATTCATCAGTTGCCCCCTTGTCTAGAATTAGGGGTTTAGTTCCTCATGATTTGATGACAGGCCGCGCGTGTGGAGTTTGTGAAAGTTTTCAGATCTATTTTTCCCCTGCTTCGGTCGACACCGAGAGGAAACACCAGGAGATTTCTTATTGCTGCCAATTTTCCTCTAAAGCATATGTCGGATAGTCTCCCAATTTTTGGTCAAAATTGAGTAAAGAGAAAACCCACAAAGTCCACAATGGCGGCTGCACTTTGCTTTCTTTCTTTCCTCACAAAAGAGACATACGAGAGATTTTGTTTCGGTTGCTTGATTTCATGGGTCAAGGCTAATCAAAATGGACAAGCATCCCAAAGTCAACAAAAGTGGCTATTGCCTATTGCCTTTCTCTCTACAAAGCTGCGGCTCTTTTTTTCCATTTTAGAGCCAAAGAAAAAAAACTCCCCTTAACCTAAGCCGCGCGAGAGATAAAATAATAATCCCCAATAGCCGAAAATTGTTACTTGTTCAAAATTGCCACCAGACTCCCTCAAAAATAATAAAAATAAAGTAAAATCTATTACAATTAAATGTCTTCAGCTCCTCAAACGGGCCCCACGTCCGATGAATCTTCTAAAAGTTGAATTTAAGCACTTTTCAGCATCCATTCCTGCAATTAGCACCAAAACAAAATATCAGTAGAATCCACCCAATTAAGGAAAATATTTAGTCAATTAATTGTGCAATAATGTCCAAAAATACCCACTAAAATGCATCCTATCAGGTACTCCTCTTGCAGCTCTGCAATCGCCTTCTTTAGGTGATCATTGTGGAAAGTTGCAAAGCTATTTAACAGTCATATGCAATGCTTCTGGTCAACTACTTCACTTACTAGCCCAAACTTTGTAAGATAAATTGGCAGACAGCCCATCGGAAAGTTTCCAGGAACCACTATTGTCCTTGCTCCAAAACAAATAACTTTCTCAACAGCATGCTTAATTTTGGCAACAACTAGAGGTACCAAGTCTTGAATTCTAAGTGTATCTCTAGCCTCATCAAAGTATTGAAGGAATGCATAATTATAATCGTTGCCGCCGATTTCACCCACCATAAATAGAGCGTTTTGAAGCTTCCTTTCACAATCATTGTGGCAAAATTTGTGAAAGTGATCTTTCATCCACTGAAGTTGCACGTCAAGGGAACTGTTGGTGACTGGATTTCTAACATGATGACTGGCGAGAGCAGCTGATGATAGTGCCGTAGCACCGACTACGGCAAAATTTGCTCCATGCTCAAAATTTGTCTTTGTGTCCTTGATCGGATTCACGAGAGGTAGACCCAGCGCCTGGGCAATGTAGTCAATCATAAGAAGTCCATTAGAGCAACGGCCAGTGGCTTTGCGGTGGGAGAAGGTCTGATCGTAGGGGTTTCTGGCGAAAGGTAAAGCGACTCCAAGTGGAGATTCCCTGATCAAATTCCCAGTGTCTGATACGGAGTCCCCAAGTTGGTATACTTGATCAAAACGGCAGGCACTCAGGAGAGGACTAGCATCAGCGGATGGTAAAGGAGAAAGAAGCAGCAAAGCAGATGCAATAACAAAGAAAACAGCAGCAATGCTCATGCCCTTGACAGCCATTTTTGCTCAGAAAACAAAACAAAATGTTTTAACTAATCCGTGGGGCATGTAATATTACTACGTAGTACTATCAAGGTTGCTATGTAATTATATGGATTGAGAAAGTGTTATAAACCTGTTGGAACTTGGATAAAAAATTCGAATCCGTAGGCGAAACCTAACTGGATTTGTTCTGCATATGTCAAACCAAAACAAATACAGCGAAAGTAGCACTATACAAAAATGTAATAAGCCGTTTTCTAGACGGAATTGACTTGTTTTTAGATAAGGTCACTAATCCTATAAACCTGTTGGAACTGGGATCAAAACTTTGAATCCATAGGCGAAACCTAACTGATTTGTTCTGCACATGTCAAACCAAAACAAAATACAGCCAAAGTAGCACTACACAAAAATGTAATAAGCCGTTTTCTAGACGAAATTGACTTGTTTTTTGATTAAGGTCACTAATCTTGCTCTTGTTCAACTTACAGATCTAGCACCAATTCTACTAGGATTCAAGTATAAGATGCAATTCTACTAGCACCAATTCTATTAGGATTCAAGACATAGAAGTTGTACTGAGACAAACAACTTTACAAGTTTGACTAACATAATACTATATGATTTTATTATTTTCCAGCTGAACATGTATGTTGTAATTACTAAAAAATGCCGTCCCTTCAAAATTTTAGTTCTTCAGGTGAAAATAGGTCTACTATTTGTCTCAGATGCCTCCATTCTTGGAGTTCAATGTTGATTAATTCTGGTAAAAAGGGAATAGATATCTCGGAATAGTGGCTCAAGGATTGGTTAAATAATATAGTTCAGGTAATAGGCGCCTGATGTTGCACTTCTTTTATATTCCACAATCAGCTCCTGAGGAATATTCTACTCCTCTCATGGTAATTAAGAGAATCTTGCTGGACTTCATAATCTCCATACATTGGAATTGGTCTTGGATATTTTCTCAAAGATGTTAATGAAATTAGTGCGCTAGCCCAGCTTTGCGTGAAGATTGCCTCATTTTAAGCGGAAGTTAAAGCTTTAGTTTGATTCAACTTGCATGAGGGACTGGGTTCAGGAGATTGTTATCAGGCCTTCCAAGTTCAAGTAGGAGGTGGAATTAGCAGTGGAGATCCTGCGGGCATGGCATTATAGATTAATTAGAGTGATTGGCTTTTCAAAGATGTGAGAGGCGTGATTCGTTTGGGTCTTCCAGAATATAATTGATGTATGTATCCTTATACTCGTAAATTAGAATACTCGGACTATGCTAGTGCTTATATATATATAAGAAAATTCTGGGAAGAAGAGGATTGGATTGGGTGATAAGGTATGAGAAATTGTAAGTAGGAGTTTCTGGATTCAAGACCTTCCACTTAAAAAAAAAGAGAGAGAATTTATTATTGTTAATGTATATACTATGCAATAACAGTTTAGTAGACATATTCTGCATGCAATGATATGTAGTTAGTTGAATTCAAAATTGATATACACCTAAATGGAAGAATTCATTACCATATATATATATATATAAGAAAATTCTGGGAAGAAGAGGATTGGATTGGGTGGTAAGGTATGAGAAATTGTAAGTAGAAGTTTCTGGATTCAAGACCTTCCACTTAAAAAAAAAGAGAGAATTTATTATTATTAATGTATATACTATGCAATAACAGTTTAGTAGACATATTCTACATGCAATGATATATAGTTAGTTGAATTCAAAATCGATGTACACCTAAATGGAAGAATTTATTACCATTTTGTTAAAACTCTTTCCAAATCATCCTACATAGTACATTGCATCCGTATGAAAAGTTGAATTACCAAAATCAATTTGAATTCGGTAAAAAATGCAATACGTTTATTATGTGTTTCTCCAATTGGAATTCCATGGTTTGGCAAATGCTTGGAATTCAAAGGGGATTTAGTTAGAATTTACAAATTTTTTGTTTGAATTGAAGAAATTCCATGTTTTGTACATTTTTTGTAAAATAAAAAACAAATCGATGCATTATGTCAAAGACCAGAACTAGTTAAATGTAACTTGCCTAATTAACTAATTTTTATCCAATTCAAAATTGAATACATTATTCACATACTGTAAAGGATATATGATAATTTTTAACATAATGAAGAACTTCATAGATGAACTACACAAAATAACGAAAATAATAGTTTTCAAAATAATAAATACAATAACAATGACATATTATTTTAGAATATCAATAATGTCGTAATCACAATACAAAAAGAATTAAATTTAAAAAAATTGATACACTTAACCAGGTAATCTCCACAATTTCATGTCCCTCTCCTGACTTTTGATGCTTTCTGTTGGAATATACATTATTTACACCTTATCTACACACACTAACTTACTTGTATTATTAACACATTTTTCAATCACTTTTTTATTTTACATACATCACATCAAAAAAATATTAAAGTAATTTTTTTTGCAAAATTATTTCAAATAATTTACTATCTAAACACACTCTTTATTATTTCTTTGCTTACTTCACGCTTTTCGGTCCCACCCCTTTGACGAACTCGTATGTGGCTCTTCTGTTGCAACTGTTTTGCATTTTGCACCACAAATACACTTGATGTCACAGCACGCGTAGCTGTCAAGCTCTCATTGCACACAATAGCCTTTCGTTTTGTAGCTAATTCTGTAAACTACCCACCGGAGACAGATCCTTGTTGAGCTGTTTCCTTATGGACACTTGAATGACCGAAACGAAAGTGGTGTAACACCATGACTGGCCCTTCGGGGACATCTCACAAAATTGGAACGTGACTGAAACAAAATGAGAAGTATACTGTTTAGGTAACCACGGATGGTCCCTTGGGACATCTCATAAAATTGGAAGTGACTGAAATCTAAGAGGTGTATTGATTTAGAGCAAATTATCTGATTGCCCTTCAAACTATTAGGTCAGTACACTTTTAGTCTTGCAGCAATTATTTGTATATTTTCAACCCTCAAACTCCTAAAAGCATATACTTCTGATCATTTTTTCTATTCAAACTATAAAACCTAACGAACACTACACCATGCACAATACACAAGAAAAAATGTATTCATAACTTGCAATATTCATATAAATTTGAGTCTAGATTTTGAATCTTCTAAAAAACAATCTAAAAGTGTAATTTCATCTAAATTTGATAACACTAGAGATAGTGATCAATAACGATCAATGGCTGATGATTGGCATGTCATAGTTGTAGTGGTGATTAGATGTGATTGGAGAAGATAATCAAAATCATGCCATTTTAAGGAAGATTTCATTAGGAGTAATAGTTGAAATTTACAGAAGGGGTTAGAGGGCTAAAAGTATACAACTAATAATTAAAGTGATACGAACTCGATTCTCCAAGGACCGCTCGAGAAGAAGTCGAATCAATCAGGCAGTGGAAGGATCTATCTTAACCAGGTTATGGAACAATAACTACCTTACTAGGCCTAAAGAGAGCCTGTTTCTAGAAACCTAGTAGATTGGTTATTGGTTTGAAAGAACAAGATGATGTGATCATCTTGCCTTGATTACCAAACTAAATGCTTGATACAGTTCAAGAAGGACTTCGCGTTCCATCAAGGAACTCCATAAAAGGAGAAAAACTCACTTTTATTAATTCATCTCTAAAAAAAGTTGTCTTACAATGGAATAGAAGAGGCTTATTTATATCTAAACCTAAAATACTAAAACTAATCCAGTTTGGACAAGGATTTAGTCACTTATTTTTCTAACTACTTTTAAATGGCTCAAATAACTCACATAACTGGCCATATTTATTCATAATAATGACTAACTAATCAGCTAAACAAGAAAAAATCAAGCAAAACAAAAGAAATTAAAAACTCGAAGATCACATAGCTGGCGCTTCATCCCCTCCACGACTTCATGTATTCCAATGGAGTCTTGAATATCATGGATTGGGTTGAAAAGGCACTCAATCATCTTGACACGAGCTAGTGATGGTCCTACTACTCGTATCATTCCCCTCATCTTGAAAGCGATTGGTCCTCGAATCGAGATTTGGCCAAAAGAAACTTCCGGTTGGGCAGATTTCCTTATGGCTAGAATTGGAAGCTAGAATTTCTGAAAATTTCCCTTTTTCCCACGCAATTAAGGATTGGAAATAATAGCTTTAATAGACTCCCAAAGATGCTACAAATCGGACAGCAAACGAAAGTTGCACACAACGGGAAAAGAAAAGTCACGAATTTACTAATCCTAAGTAGGCTAGAAATTGGAAACCTTAACGACTTTTCCATGACTTAACCACGGATGGATACCCAAAAACAAAGAAGCAAACACAAATATACAAGCCCGCCCGAAGGTATGAACTCATATCCCACACGGCCCGGATCTAGATGAAGAAATCAAGTTGATTGCAGAATAACACTTGACCTTTCTAAACCCTAAGATTGTGAACCTTGAATCGAATCTCAACCCACAATCAAATAATTTAGTGAACCAAATGTATTGGTAGAAGAACGCCACAACCAAGATGGATACTTGATTGATAAGTTTGAATTGAATAGCTCAAGAGAACTCTCAAGTATTCAAGAAGGGTTCTCTTGGAGCAAGAAAAAAGTGATAACTCACATATTTCTAAAAAATTCTCGATAATGATAAACATTGGAAAAACTAGGCTATTTATAGCCTTACAATGACTCAAACCCTAATGTGATTTGGACTAAAAATCCAACTAAGATTTGGCCCCTTTGAAGACTAAGCTGGCTGAATATTAACTCTATAATTACACCACTAAAACCGCAATTAAATTGACAATTAAACCCTTCACTTAACACTACCAATAAACGACATCACTTACTAACAAAACAACTAACTAAACTAACTTGCTTCTACTCTTTATGAATGACAACAAGTTGTAGTAAAGTAACACCACCAATTCAGCTTTGAATAATCTTTATAGATTTCGAAGGGAGCTGGTTCTTCATGTTTGTATCATTCCCCTCCTCTTAAAAGTGATTTGTCCACAAA